AGATCAGATGCTTGTAGATATGTTGTGTTGCCTCCAAGACCTCTGTTCTGTTCCATTGGTCTATATCTCTGTTTTGGTACCAGTACCATGCTGTTTTGATTACTGTAGCCTTGTAGTATAGTTTGAAGTCTGGTAGTGTGATGCCCCCCACTTTGTTCTTTTTGCTTAGAATTGACTTGGCTATGCGGGCTCTCTTTTGGTTCCATATGAAGCTTAAGATGGTTTTTTCCAGTTCTGCGAAGAAGGTCATTGGTAGATTAATGGGGATAGCATTGAATCTGTAAATTACTTTGGGCAGTATGGCCATTTTCACGATATTGATTGTTCCTAACCATGAACATGGAATGTTTCTCCATCTGTTTGTGTCCTCTCTTATTTCATTGAGCAGTGGCTTGTAGTTCTCCTTGAAGAGGCCCTTTACGTTCCTTGTTAGTTGTATTCCTAGGTATTTTATTCACTTTGTGGCAGTTGTGAATGGAAGTTTGTTCTTGATTTGGCTCTCTTTAAGTCCGTTATTGGTGTATAGGAATGCATGTGATTTTTGCACATTATTTTGTATCCTGAGACTTTGCTGAACTTGCTTATCAGTTTCAAGAGGTTTGGGGCTGAGACAATGGGGTCTTCTAGATATACAATCATGTCGTCTGCAAATAGAGACAATTTGACTTCCTCCTTTCCTATTTGAATGCCCTTTATTTCTTTTTCTTGCCTGATTGCTCTGGCTAGAACTTCTAATACTATATTGAATAGCAGTGGTGAGAGAGGGCATCCTTGTCTGGTGCCACATTTCAAGGAGAATGCTTCCAGTTTTTGCCCATTCAGTATGATATTGGCTGTTGGTTTGTCATAAATAGCTTTTATTATTTTGAGATACGTTCCATCGATACCTAGCTTATTGAGGGTTTTTAGCATAAAGGGCTGTTGAATTTTGTCAAAGGCTTTCTCTGCATCAATTGAGATAATCATGTAGTTTTTGTCTTTGGTTCTATTTATGTCGTGAATTACGTTTACAGACTTGTGTATGTTGAACCAGCCTTCCATCCCCGGGATGAAGCCTACTTGATCATGGTGGATAAGCTTTTTGATTTGCTGTTGCAATCGGCTTCTCAGTATTTTATTGAAGATTTTTGCATCTATGTTCATCATGGATATTGGCCTGAAGTTTTCTTTTCTTGTTGAGTCTCTGCTGGGTTTTGGAATCAGGATGATGTTGGTCTCATAAAATGATTTGGGAAGAATTCCCTCTTTTTGTATTGTTTGGAATAGTTTCAGAAGGTATGGTACCAGCTCCTCTTTGTACGTCTGGTAGAATTCAGCTGTGAACCCATCTGGACCTGGGCTTTTTTTGGGTGGTAATCTCTTAATTGCTGCCTCAACTTCAGACCTTGTTAGGATCTGTTCAGGGTTTCAGCTTCTTCCTGGTTTAGGCTTGGGAGGAGGCAAGAGTCCAGGAATTTATCCATTTCTTCCAGGTTTATTAGTTTGTGTGCATAGAGTTGTTTGTAATAATCTCTGTTGATTGTTTGAATTTCTATGGAATCTGTGGTGATATCCCCTTTATTGTTTCTTATTGCATCAATTTGGTTATTCTCTCTTTTCTTTTTTATTAATCGGGCTAGTGGTCTGTCTATTTTGTTGATTTTTTCAAAAAACCAGCTCCTGGATTTATTGATTTTTTGAAGGGTTTTTTGTGTCTCTATCTCCTTCAGTTCTGCTCTGATCTTAGCTATTTCTTGTCTTCTGCTAGACTTTGAGTTTTTTAATCTTGCTCCTCTAGCTCTTTCAGTTTTGACAATATGGTATCAATTTTTGATCTCTCCTTGCTTCTCATGTGGGCACTTATTGCTATATATTTTCCTCTAGAGACTGCTTTAAATGTGTCTCAGAGATTCTGGTATGTTGTGTCTTCATTCTCGTTGGTTTCAAAGAACATCTTTATTCCTGTCTTAATTTCATTGTTTATCCAGTCAACATTCAAGAGCAAGTTGTTCAGTTTCCATGAAGCTGTGCGGTTCTGGGTTAGTTTTTGAATTCTGAGTTCCAACTTGATTGCACTGTGGTCTGAGAGACTGTTTGTTACGATTTCCATTCTTTTGCATTTGCTGAGGAGTGATTTACTCCCAATTATGTGGTCAATTTTAGAGTAGGTGTGATGTGGTGCTGAGAAGAATGTATACTCTGTGGATTTTGGGTGGAGAGTTCTGTAAATGTCTATTAGGTTTGCTTGGTCCAGGTCTGAGTTCACGTCCTGGATATCCTTGTTAATTTTCTGTCTGGTTGATCTGTCTAATGTTGACAATGGGGTGTTAAAGTCTCCCACTATTATTGTGTGGGAGTCTAAGTCCCTTTGTAAGTCATTAAGAACTTGCCTTATGTATCTGGATGCTCCTGTATTGGGTGCGTATATATTTAGGATCGTTAGCTCTTCTTGTTGCATTGATCCTTTTACCATTATGTAATGTCCCTCTTTGTCTCTTATGATCTTTGTTGCTTTAAAGTCTAATTTATCAGAGATGAGAATTGCAACTCCTGGTTTTTTTTGCTCTCCATTTGCTTGGTAAATCTTCCTCCATCCCTTTATTTTGAGCCTTTGTGTATCCTTGCATGTGAGATGGGTTTCCTGGATACAGCACACCGATGGGTTTTGTCTTTTTATCCAATTTGTCAGTCTGTGTCTTTTGATTGGGGCATTTAGTCCATTTACATTTAGGGTTAATATTGTTATGTGTGAATTTGATACTGCCATTTTGGTGCTATCTGGGTGTTTTGCCCTTTAGTTGAGCTGGTACTTGTTGTTCCTTTATATGTGTAGAGCCTCTTTCAGGAGCTCTTGTAGAGCTGGCCCAGTGGTGACGAAATCTCTGAGTACTTGCATGTTCCCAAAGGATTTTATTTTTCCTTCACTTATGAAGCTTAGTTTGGCTGGATAGGAGATTCTGGGTTGAAAGTTCTTTTCTTTAAGGATGTTGAATATTTGCCCCCACTCTCTTCTGGCTTGTAGGGTTTCTGCTGAGAGATCTGCTGTGAGTCTGATGGGCTTCCCTTTATGGTAACCTGACCTTCTCTCTGGCTGCCCTTAGTATTTTCTCCTTCATTTCGACCCTGGTGAATCTGACGATTATGTGCCTTGGGGTTGCTCTTCTTGATGAATATCTTTGTGGTGTTCTCTGTATTTCCTGGACTTGAATGTTTGCCTGCCTTGCTAGGTTGGGGAAGTTTTCCTGGATAATATCCTGAAGAGTATTTTCCAGCTTGGATTCATTCTCTTCATCGCATTCAGGTACGCCTATCAAACGTAGATTAGGTCTTTTCACATAATCCCACATTTCTTGGAGATTTTGTTCATTCCTTTTTACCCTTTTTTCTCCAATCTTGCCTTCCCGTTTTACTTCATTGAGTTGATCTTCGACCTTTGATATCCTTTCTTCTGCTTGGTCAATTCGGCTGTTGATACTTGTACATGCTTCACGAAGTTCTCGTGTTGCGTTTTTCAGCTCCATCAATTCACTTATTTTCCTTTCTATTTTGTCCATTCTTGTTAGCATTTCGTCAAATCTTTTCTCAAGTTCTTAGTTTTTTTGCATTTGGTTAGAACATGCTCTTTAAGTTCACAGAAGTTTCTTACTACCCACCTTCTGAAGTCTGATTCTGTCATTTCATCACACTCGTTCTCCCTCCAACCTTGTTCCCTTGCTGGTGAGGAGTTGTGATCCCTTGCAGGAGGAGAGGTGTTCTGGTTTTGGGTGTTTTCATCCTTTTTGCGCTGGTTTCTTCCCATCTTTAAGGATTTATCCACCTGTCGACTTTGTAGTTGCTGGCTTTCAGATTGGGTCTCAAATCTTTCAGATTGACATTCTGTTTGTTGATGATGAGGTTATTTCTGTTTCTTGGTTTTCCTTCTGACAGTCTGGCCCCTCTGCTGTAGGTCTGCTGAGGTTCACTCCAGGCCCTGCTTGCCTGGGGTTCACCTGCAGCAGCTGCTGAACTGTAAGGGTTGTTACCAGTTTTCTTCTTCTGCTATCTTTGTCCCAGAATGATACCCGCCTAGTGTCAATCTGATCTCTCCTTTATGAGGTGTCTCTTTGGATATATAGGGGACAGGGAGCTGGTTGAGGAGATGGTTTCCTCTTTATAGGAGCTCAAATGGTGAGCTGTGAGCTCTGTTGTTGTTCATTCAGAACTGCTGGGCAGGTACGTTTAGGTCTGCTGCAGCAGAACACATAAACTGCTTTTTGTTCCCAGGTGCTCTGTCCCAGGGATTTAGGGTTTCATTTATGAGTATCTGTTATGCTGCTGCCTTCTTTTTTTTCCCTTCAGACCTGCCCAGCCCAGCAAGGATGCAGCCTAGTCACTGTCGGCCTGTATAGGCTTTGCTGAGCTGCCGAGTGAACTTCCTTGCAGTCCTGTTTATATGGGTGTAGTTAGAACTGCTTTGGCGATGGTGACCTGCCTCTGTTGAGGCGGAGTCTCTCTGCTGTGGTGGGTTGCCTTGGCAACGGCGGGCTGCCTCAGCAATGGCGGGTTTCCTTGGCAACGGCGGGCTGCCTCAGCCATGGTGGGTTGCCTTGGCAACGGTGGACTGCCTCAGCATTGGCCAACTACCTCTGTCGTGGCGGGCTGACTCAGTAATGGTGGACGCCCCTCCCCCACAGCGCTGGACCGTCCCAGGTTCATCTGCTCTTGCTGTGAAACTCTCAATCCAGAGTTTCTGGTTGCTGTTCTTTTGTGGTGGTGGGACCAGCCGAGCCTGATCGCCTGGCTCCCTGCCTCAGAGCCTTTTTTAAGTTGGTGTTCCAGTCGCCTGTTGAAGAGGCGCTGGGGTCTGTTTGTTTTCCCCTGCGGCCACTCACTGCGCTGGCTTAAATAGCGGCACTGAGGTGTGTGGTGTTTTTTTTTTTTTTTTGCCCTGGAATCTACTGTCCTGGCTCTCTGCTCAGTCCCCTTTTTAGACAGACAAATGGGTAACTTCCCGTGGCTCCAATCGCCAGCCAAAAGGGCACCTGGACCGGTGTATTTTGTATGGAGAACTGCGGCTCTGGGGCGCCGACAAAGCAGCCACACGGGGCAAAGCAGCGGCGCCGGCCGGCACAGGCACGCTGGCCGAAACAGCCACACTGGTGACCTGTGGAGTTCCTCCACCTGGGAATTTCCTAGTCTGTGGTCAATAAAAATGCGGCGTCCACTCACCCTCTGCACTTTCACTGGGAGCTGCAATCCTTAGCTGTTCCTAAACGACCATCTTGGATCGAGATTCAACTTTCTGTTTCTTAAGTGTGGTGGATACCAGAAGCAAAATGAGAATACATGTCATGGAGTGGGAAAAAAATATATATGATATATGTGATCATATATATACATGAATATATATTCATAGCCAGATTATATAAAATTATACATCAAGTAAAATTTTAATGTAAATTAAAAATAAAAAGACAAATATCTCATGTACCCCATAAATACATATACCTACTATATACATATACTACTATTACATATACCTACTTTATACATACATGTATTTATACTATAAATACATATACCTACTATATGCTCACAAAAATTATAAATAGAACATTTATAAAAACAATATAATTTTACAAATGCTAAGATATCAAAAAAAGACATTTCATGGAAGAGGCTACATTTCTACAGCAGTAAAAGTGAACGAATTGCAACTGTGTACAATATCACTGATAACTATCTCAAACAAAATGGCCAAAAAGACACGAAAGAACATATACTATATTATGGCATTTATATAATGTTTAAAACAAAGCCAAATTACCCTATAGTTTCAGAAGTCAGGGCAGTACTTATCCATGGCATGGGGTTAGAAGTGAGACGAGTACATGTGACACGGGTACATGACTCATAATTTTCTGTTTCTTGATCAGGATGTTTGTTCCGCACCAGATGAGTGTGTTCAAATTTTGAAAATTTGCAAGGTAAATACTCATGATATCTGCATTTGAAAAAAGATGTATACTATTTCTTGCTCAAAGTCAACCTTGAACGAAAGAAGCAGGCAAATGAAACAAGTATTAGTAGCTAAAGAGCTTAAGCAAATCACTTATGTGGCTCATTCTAATCCCTCAATAAGTGGTAGCTGTTATTTTTAAACCTTTTTTCCTGCTTCTACTTCTCATCAATGTGTTAGAAAACACCCTCCCTCTCTCATCTTTGCTATTTTTCTTGAAGACAAGAAAGACTATTGTTAATAATTATTTGCCTGTCTTAAAGTTCTGAAATCACAGTGTCTAATTAAGAATCTGGGCTTTAATTTCTAAAGTGATTTAAAGTGTTCATAAATCTCCTTCAGAATCTCTGTGAAAGGTATCTACATCTTGCACTCCTCTAATTACATCCAGTTTTCTTCAAGTACCAGTAATCAGTTTTTTTTAAGAAATATCATTTTGAATAAAGGTTATTATCAACTTTCATCTCTAGTACCTACTAGAACAACAATATTTTCTATCATTTTGCTACACAGATCATGTTATGTACATAAATATGTTGTATACATATATATGCATGCATACATGCCTTGTATATATATGTGCTATTTCTAATACAGTTTAAATAGGCTTTTATCAGAACCAAAATTTCAAAATTATATCCACTGAAAAATATATTCTACATTCTAAGATATTGACTGAAAAATCACCTGTATGAACTTCAAAGTAACACTATATTTCCAAAAAAGTGTAACATGGGCATAAATAATACTTTAAAACTCTTCATAGTGATTTTACTTCTTATACCATTTCACCATATATCCATACATTTTTCTTAAAAGCTCTTTCATGAAGGACCAGGGAAGGCATTTTCAGCTATAATTTATACATGAGAAAATAGGCACAAAGCAATTGTCTCAAGTTCATAAAGTTTCAGATTAAAGGGGAAAAAAAAGCACACAAATCCACGGTTTTCTGTTTCTAATTAAGTTCGTTCTTTTTTGTCCTCTGTATTCCATTCTCCCTCCCGCACTCCCTCCCTCAGCACACCTCACTTATGCTGCTTTGTGTCCTCCTTGTACTTAAAATAAGAAAGGCCTATGTAGATATTAAGAATATATAAGGAAGGCCCAAAGAATATAGGTGAATCTTGAAAATATGAACTTCAAAGGGCAAATAGGATTAGGTTTAGAATTGAGTAGAGAGAAGGGCAATACAAATGGAGGAAGGTCCCACCAGTCAAACAGGGCACATGCAGCTGTTAATGAAGAAACTGAACTACTTAGAAGAGACAGACAGTGTTAGGATGAGAGGAAAATAGACAGAAATTTGAAAACTATTGCAAAAAATTCAACCTGCACTGTAGTACGGCAATCTCGCCTCATCCAAGGGGGATACATTCCAAGACTCCCAGTAGATTTCTGGAACCCCAAATCATACAGAATCTAACCTATAATGAATGTGTTTTTGCCTAAAAACACATATGATAAAGTTTAATTCATAAATTAGGCACAGGAAGCAATTAATAACTGATAAAATAGAACAGTTACAACAATATACTATAAGAAAAGTTCTGAAAATATGTGTATTTACTCTCTCTTACATATTCTCTCTAAAAGTGCTGTAATATTCTCAAACCACAGTTGACTCAGAGTAACTAAACCTGCAGAAAACAAAATTGCAGTTGAGGGGACTACTACATTTCTACCAAATGAATCAGTATTAATTAATGAAACTCTCTAGAAGTCTATTTGGACTTTAAGAGCATGTTTTTATTTCTTGTTTAGCTGAGTTAGGATTGAGAAAGAAGGTAGGCATCCTTAGGTGAGAAGATAGTGTTAAAAAAATATACTTTAAACAAATTAAATTTAATAAAGTTTAATTGAGCAGAGAATGATTTGCAAATCAAGCATCCCCCAGAACTATAATAGAAGCTGTTTGCAGAAACTCCAGGGCTGCCTCATGGTCAGGTACAATTTATGCACAAAAAAGGGGAAACAGCATATAGAAAATAGAAGGGAGGTACAGAAACAGCTGAATTGATTACAGCTGGGTCTTTGCCTTATTTGAATCTAGTTTGAACAGCTGACTAACTGTAGTTAATGGAACTTTAGCTGCAGTAGTTGGCTAAGACTCTGCTACTTGTTACATGGTAAGTTACAGGTGGTTTACATGTCAAATTATAGTTCATTATGTACAGAGGAACTTTTCAGCCAAACTTAAAATATGTAACAAATCAGCTTTAGACCAAACTGACCCAAAGTTTAACGATTTTCCCTTTTGATCAGCCTCTCAATTTTGAGAGACTGAACAAACTTTAGGCATTGACATAACTCCGTCGCCACTGCAAATAGACTTATTTGGTCTCAAATCCCACCAGAAAATAGCAATGGGTTTTGCAAGGTGTGAATAAAAAAACAGAACAATAAAAAAAAATGCCTGATTAACATCAAGTTACATCAGGTTAGATTTTTTGTAAGGGTTAGAACAAAAGGGATCTCCTCATTGTACCAGAATCTCTTGGTGTCAGAAGGGGGAAAAAAAAACTGGTTTCCGTATCTCTCTGCTTAAAGTTTTGTTTTGATTATATGGCACTTAGCCTGAGTGATTCTATTTTAGTTTGTTCTGGTCTACTGGGGACTAGGGAAAAGGCCCAGTCACAAACATTGGCCTCCCATAATTCTGCTTAGCAGTTCCTGCCTTTTGGTTAGGTTCTTGCCTAAATGAGAATGTGACCAAACCTTAGGGCATGAGTGCTACTCTTCTCAATTACCATCATTTTTAGCTTCTAGTCTGAATACACCATTCACAGGTTATGCTGTCCTCATAATAATGCTTTTGTTTGAGATTTTGCTGTTCCAGTCAAAGGGAGCTCATTTAATGTTCTAAAGATGGCTACATGCAACTATTTAAAACTTTTGAGGCTGGGTGACACATGTAATCCCAGCACTGTGGGAGGCCAAGGTGGATCACTTAAGGTCAGAAGTTTGAGACTAGCCTGGCCAACATGGTGAAACTCCATCTCTACTAAAATTATAAAAAATTAGCTGAGCATGGTAGCAGGCACCTGTAATCCCAGTTAACTCAGGAGCCTGAGGAAGGAGGATCACTTGAACCTGAAGGACAGAGGTTGCAGTGAGCTGAGAGTGTGTCATTGCACTCAAGCCTGGGAAACAAGAGCAAAACTCCAAAAAAAAATTAAAATAAAAAATAAAACTTTTGAGCAAATACTGTAAATCAGGGAGACTATTGTAACTATCAGGAAGACAATACCAAGAGTTTGAATTGTGCTTCTTAGCAAGGATTCCCATGAACCAACCCAACTAATATTACTACATTAAAGAATTAGCCAGATGAAATGTACTCATTTTAACTAAGCATCTTGTTTGTTAATGTCTTGCAACTGAGTCTCTATAACACCCATTTTATTCATCCATGTGCAACAAGAAGTGTTGACAACTGCACAGTGCAGTGGTGCAATCTTGGCTCACTGCAACCTCTGCCTCCCAGTTTCAAGTGATTCTCCTGCCTCAGCCTCCCAAGTAGCTGAAATTACAGGTGTGCATTTTTGTGTTTTTAGTAGGGACAGGATTTTACCATGTTGGCCAGGCTGGTCTCAAACTTCTGACCTCAAATGATCTACCCACCTCAGCCTCTCAAAGTGCTTGGATTACAGGTGTAAGCCACCGTGCCTGGCCCAGCAATGTTCTTTTTAACTTACAATGTAGGTTAGATGGAGTGGATCAATGTTCTGTTTCTGACTATGAAGGAACAAAAGTACTATTAAGTTGTCTAGCTCACACTGGCCTTTCATCTTCCATTAATCAAGGTATAAGTTTGACCATGTATAAGGTTGTCTGCAAAATTCTCCACAAATAAAGGTAAACCCCATGTATGTATACAAATACCCCTTTTCTGATTCTGTTGTTTATGGATACATTACTTGGAATGGTGAAATTAGCAGTTTCTAGCCAAGGATCTGAGGTAGAATTATTACAGGTTGAAAGAACACTGTAGTACTCTACCACATAAATCAGTTTGCAAGAAACTTCTAGGCTTTTGGTGCAAAACTGCCTTGTGTTGGTCCTGGTCCTTGTATCCCATACTGAATTGAATTAAAACAAGGAGTGAGAAAAAGTGAGCCTAGAAATCTGAGCAGTAGTGTAATTTGAACAACAGTTAAGTTAGGGATGTTGCTAAAATTACCCACTGTGTAAGCTAAGGGATCCATTAGGTTGTATAAAGTTCGTGTTTGGTATGACAGATGAAATGCTCCATAAAGTTACCCACAGAAGGTACTGACTGTGGAAATCTAATTACAGCATTATCCTGCTGAGCAAAAGAGTTATACATAAATAAGAAAAAGATAAAAGTTCATGATGACAGAAAAGCATTTACCCATAATCCTGGGAAAGCTGCCCATGTCTAGGATACTGTCTGCTTCTGAATATAAATTTTCCTGTTTAGTTTTACCTTAAGATCCACATGGATGTACCATTTCCAAGAGTATAGAGAGGTGCTTCTGAGCTACAAAATGTGGACCCAAAGTTTGAGGTCCCAGTTTTGCTGTAGTGTTAGTGGAAAGGATAGTCTTTCTTTCTCTGATGACACTTCCAGAAGACCTAATCTCTGTGTTCTAGATTGTCCTCAGCTGGTGGTTCATTAAAAGCTTCCTTTAACTGGCAGAAATATACTTTGGCATACTACAGTAAAGCCTTACAGTATGTAGTCATATTAGAGTTTAGGAGAGCAGGAGGTATATTAGGTTCTATTATTAGGAGCATAGGCCTTCCAGGGACTATTTCATAAGGGGTCAACTTATGTTTTCAATTGGAAGTAGATGTGACTATCATCAATTTGCAATGCCTTTGATCAAGGCAATCCAGTAGTCTCAGTTTGTTTTGCTTAATGGTATTGTATCTATAATAACTTAGTTAACTGTTTTACTGCTTTTCCAGTGAAACAAGTATCACTGGGGATTTCCCCAGGAATATTCCTGGGGAAAACACATTTTCTAACAACCTTTAGCCATGGTTATAGCATTAGTCTTCTTGCATGGAAAAGTTTGTACACCACCAGAAAATATAGATTGAAAATAGCAATTGAATGAAAATCCCTCTAGAAATGTTCATATGGCCCATCAGGTAGCAGAAATGTACCTGATGTTTTGATTATCTTTCCATTATTATGGTTTTGATAAACAAAACATTGATTATAAATCATTTTAGCAATTTTAGAAAAGTCTCCACACATTTGTTTTTCATGATTTCAATTATTTTATCTCTTCCATGTTGAGTCATGGAGTGTCAAGTTTTAATAATAGAGAGATGTCAAGGAAGCAGGAAGGACTAGGCAGCCATTCAGGCTCTCTGTGAGTAGACTTTAATATTGGATTTTGTTAAAACCGATTAGTTAGACAGTTCCTCTTCAAGGAGTTTCACTTTGTTACAAAGAAGGTGATCATCTCCAAGAGGTCTTTACTTCCTTGTACTTCTGTCTTATTTCCCTGTTCTTTGTCTAAAGTTATCTTGCCTGCCGATCTATCAGCCTATCCCTGCCTGCTGTGCTTAGGCATGCCCACCAAGAAATCACCCCCTCCCTTCTGTAACGGCTTTCCCCACTGAAACTGTTCTTCCCTGCGCTCTTCAAATTAGCTAATTGTGTTTAGCTTAGGCTGTGCTGTATGACCCCAACCATTAAACATAGCAGCTAAGGCCAACTGTGTTAGGAATTAAAAGGCCCTGCTTTCCTTTGTTCGTGGTGCTCTTGCCATTGCTCCATCTGTGAGATGCACCCTTCCATAGAAGTAAATTTGCCTTGCTGAGAAAATTTATGTTTGAGTAACATTTCTTTGCGGCACTGAAAATTTGTTTCTAACAGATTTATATCCTCTGAAATACCAATTTTGTCTCTTCAGTTCCAGTGCACAGCACTGTTTATTAAATTAAGTATTATAGGTCATTTGACTTGGATCAAGGAGTTCATTCAAATTGCATGTTTTGACAATTTCATTACTGGCTGACTTAGCATGAAAATCTGTCAAAGTATTTTCTTATAATTGAATTCTTCTCCTGCTTGGGTAGAGTTCTGTGTTTTTTTATTTCTTCTTTTAAATCCAGTCCAATGGTATAATCTTAAAGTTATCAGACATTTTTGTACTTTCGGAGTACTTTCCATGAACTTCCTTGAAAGCAAAACTCTTTAGAAATCTAATAGCTTATAAAGGGCTTTCAGAAAAAGCATCCAAATTAGGCAATTTACAGTGGACAACAAGACTTAAAATAGTCATGGTTAAAGATGCAACTGACAAGGAAATTTGGTTATTCCTGTGGCTTGTAATAATTCAACATGATAGTGATAATTATGACTAATAACATACATCAAGACATATCACAATTTTAGGAATTGCCTACAAGTTTGGAACATGTATTAATAGCATATTAATTTGGAGTGTTCCACCATGTAAGTGTAATTCAAAAAAAGTTTAAACATTATTTCTTATTACCTGACAGTGATTCTTGTGTAATTTAACATATCAGATAAGCCTTCATTTATTATCTTTGTTTATTATCTCTCTTTTAAATGCTTCAGGGGCCCTCTGGGACATCCAAAGTTAGTTTGAGGTAAAAAATACTTCATTTTGGTTTCGAATTTTGATTTTTGGAAGTCTATCAAATATGTCAAAGGTTTAAAATAATTGATCAAAATAGGATCACAGACCATGGTAATAATTATTCATTTAGACAAAATGATAACCAACAGAATTTAGAAAGAAAAAACCTTCACTGTTTTATAGAGAGGAGATTCAATTTTCCAAATAATCAAAATACCTAATAAAGACAGCACAAAACACACAAAATCTGTTTCTCTTTCTCTCCCCTTCCCCTTTTTTGGTTTTTGTAGTTCACTCAAAAGGTTAATGAAAATCTTTTACTCTCTTATTAATAATACTACATAAAATATTTAAAAGAGAAAATTGAGTTTTAGTTTTATATTAGTGTACTTTTGATATTAAGGCTCAATTTTAAAAACACTTATAATACATTCATTTAACCCGAGTCAGTTTAACCAAACAAGATTTTCTTTTACACTCTAATTTTCAATACCCAGTTAGTTTTATCTCTATACCTTCTTTTAAAAATAACCTTTAAGTCACCTCTAAATTGAACAAATTTCTTTGAACAAAAATGACATTCTTATATCTTCTTTATAACCTTTCTTCCCAAAAATATATCTTGTTTTTCTTGTGCCCTTTGCAAATGAAATCTTTTATCTCATTTAGTAATTTTAATCACATACATTAATAAAAATTTAATAGTAACCTTAATTTCCAGTGAAAACCCTAGGAAGTGGGCAATTTTAAACTGCTTTATATCAGTATCTATAGGTGAAAACCATGTTATAATTTTCAGAAAGGTATGTTTTGTCAATTTTTTGTTTCTTAACATATGCAAAGATATTTTGCCTCTCTACTATATAAAAGCAAGATGTTGGAATATATAAACAACTTAGGCTTAATAAAACTGAAATTTCAGTATTTAACTTGCTTAGAAATGATTCAGATATTTAATGAGTATCTATTACTTAAGATATTAAATTACTGAAAAAGAGTTTTAAAACTCCAAGTTCAATTGTAATTTTAATGTCATTTACCTTTACATTACTAGTTCTTAACAATTACAATTGGATTGGTTAATTTTTAAAAGCTGACTACTGAAGAAGTTTATAAAATATTACCCTAAAATATGTCACTTTAGTATATTATTGCTACCAATAGATAAACAGAGCAAAGCTTTTTGAATTTCCCTTATTTGTTTTCCAAAGAAAAACTCAATTGTCCTTAATATTTTCCTTAGGTGTTCCAGAAACCAAGGAAGATTAACTTTTATCACAGGAAAGGAGACTTCACATTCAGACAAACCTTGACATAAACAATTACCCATTCTTCTAAGGTCCATTTATCTTTCCTAAAAATCATTTACTAGTTCAGGCCTAAACACCATCATTTGCCAAAACCAACAAAAGGGAAAGGTTTAGGTAAAGGCCTGGTCATGATGAGATGGCCAGAAAAAGCACCCTAAACAAAGTTTGTCTTGTTATATAAATTTAAACCAATGTTTTCTTTTATTGTCAGAGGTTCCAGTGCCTCAGTCCTCCCTCTCTTCCCAGTGCCCAGAAGCAGACATTCTTACAAATGGAAATTTCCATTGTAAAGGTAAATTTATGTTACAAAAGCATTTCAGAATACCCAACTAAATACCATAAAGGTGTATTTTAGAAACTGATTTTAGTTCCTTAGGTGGTCTTTTTAACTTAGCTTCTGTTTCTTAGCTAAAACTACTCAGTTTAGGGTGGAACCCATTAAAATAAGGCAAAGAAAACATTCTCTATGCCGGGACTTAGCATGAATAGCTCTCAGAAAGAGGCAAGCCTATGTACTCACCTGAGGGCCCATCATGTATAAACTTGTATCCAACTTACTTTTTGTCTTTAGGACAGGATAGTAAGTAAACCCACAGGTTAATAGAGTCAAAATTTTTAAATCAATTAGTTACTCATGCTTTTTATTTGCCTTTTGTAAAGAGTCTTTTAAGAGTGACAATAAAAATATCAAAATCATTTTAGAAGTTTCTACACATCAATAGGCATCTCTGGGTTAGCCTAATTTGGGAGCTGTCATTTTTAAATGCATTTCTTGAAGCGTAGTGCTGTTCATTTGGAATGTTACAACGTAATTTAAAATTATGCTTAACAAGATTTTGCCATTTTAGTAAGTGTTTTCTGCCTCTGAGGCCAAATACCTATACATGTAAAGGTAGATAAAACAGGAAGGTAGAAAATTAAAAGTCCCATTTTTATACTCTGTCTTGGCTTTGCCTTTGTGATCTTTGTGATCAATTTAGCCTATGAGATTTCTCTATCTAAGCATGCAAGGAAAAGAAACAAAAAGGATAGAGCAGAAAATCCCTATGAATTTCCAGAAGCTAGAATTTACACTCCTTGCTGTATCACCATTTGCTGCCAGTTTATGTGTGACCCACTTATATATTTGAGGCTTATATGAGAATCCAATTCAGTTAATTATTGGACCCAATCCAAAGCTAGACTCAGTCCAGTTTCTGTCCCAATTTTTAGCCCAGTGTTGATCAAAATTTGCTTGAATAAACACAAATTTTTAAAGTTTTTAAATCTGACAAAAAAAACCTTACATTCCCCAGTTGCTGTGAGAGAGCTCACAGTGGACTCAAGTACCTTGCTTGGCCACATTATTGTTATATGTAAATTTCTGGTGCCACAAAAGAAGTAGCACTTGAATGTAAATTTTCTCAGCAGACAACTTCTATAGAAGGGCACATCTCATAGATGGAGCAATGGTGAGTACACACCTTAACAATAGGAGGGAAGGGGTTTTTATTCCTCATACAGGTAGCCCCTACTGTTCTGTCATTCCCCTATTGGCTAGGGTTGGACCACACAGTCTAAATTAATTCTGATTGGCTATTTTAAAGAGAGCAGGGGTATGAGCCAGAGTGGCAGGGTGGGTAGTTTGGAAGGAAGGACGGTTATGGAACAGGTCAGAGTAGACTGGGGTGGCTCAGGTCAAAGCAGGTGACCAGGGGAACAGATGCGAACTACTGTTTAGAACTGGCAGGAAAGTTGTTTACCCAAACTAGAGGCAAGGGGGCACAGAGAACCAGGAAGTTAAACTTTAAAATGGAGAATTAAAGAATAAGAAAGCTGAACATACTGACATACTGATTCTTTGAAGAGATACTTGGAGTTCACTATATCTAACAATCCCCCATCTTGAGTTTTTATAGTTTTTTTCTCATCAAACTTCCTTAACATGTCTTAGCTTAGTTATTCTGCTATCTCTTTGGCAGCATCCCTGATGTAATTAATAAACTTCTGCTGATCATAATAAATGAAATTAATTTACATTTTTATTAATTGCCACCTACAAATTAACTTAAATTCTGCAGCTATTTGATATCAGGGTTTAATTTATTTGATAACTAATAGTGTTTATATAAACATGGGGATTAAAAGACCCATGTGAAGCAGTTCTTTTTTTATAATTTTTCTTTCTCTTTTTTTTTTATCATGTTGATGGAACACTAGAGTGAAAGGAATGGCCAATTGGACTAGTGCATGGGCACAGCTCTAATTACTTGGCACAGTACCCACCAATAGTCTCCTGCAATACCACCACACATCTGCTTGGGGATGAACAAAGGCAGACTGGTAAGCTCTTGAAAAGGCTTGGTTTCATTGCACCCTGTTAAATCTTCAAGGAATTCCAACATTTCCCCCTGCCATGAAAGGCAGTAGCTGAAGTTAACCTCAGAGATGGAGGCTGAATGGCCCTCAATGGGGAACAGCAGTAAAAGAGTCTTGCATGACTCATCACTCTAGGCTGTCGGATTCTGGAAGAGAGCTACCATACAGCTTATGCCCAGTCCTTGAGAGGATGACCCAAATGGAAAGGGGACAATCTGGGTTTCTGGCCTGCCTGTTGCACAAGCATAATTACTGTTATCTAGCATGCAAACAGAATATCTAATACATTCCAGCCAAGCATTTGCACCCTGATACCCTGTTTCAATTGCTATAGTTTGTTTTAAAATCTTTAACCTCTAATAACAACTACTTTGGTTTTATCATTGGGTAGATAATGATAGAAGGTTTGTTAACGGAGAACTTAGGAGAGGGAGAAGGGGATGCAAGAGGTGAAGAGGCAATGAAGTGCATTTGAAAGTATCCTATGGGGTCCTTCCCAGAGACTTCTGATTCTATACCACAGAAATGGCTTAATGGAAGGGAAGAACTCTGGGGAACAGAGATGGTAATCTGTACTGGATTACACTGGTTTATCTGACAATGGGGAGAAGTAACTCCTTTAGTGAAATGAATATATGGTTTTAAGAAACTGCAGGTACTACTTGGGGTGGTCCATTCTTACTCTTTAGTATTTTATAGAGCATTGGACCAACTTTGACAGAGAAGCTCTGGTCTAGGAGTACAAGATTTGCAGTTTATACTGGAATCTTTGTCAAACTCTTCTCAAATTAACTTATTCCAGTTAATAGATATTTTGTTCTGTTTTTTTTTTTTTTTTTTGGTCAGAGGAGAGTTAGGAAGGATAAAGTTACTTTTCTAAAGTGGAGAGTTGTCTCTGACTTGGCAAGTCTCTATAGGGTATAACAAGGCAAGCATCAAATGTAATAATTTGAGGCAAAATTGACATGGTTACATTAATAACTAGGTGGTCAGCAATAGAGCAAGGAAAGTAGAAGGAGTAATAGAATAGATGAAAGAGGGTTAGATTTTTCTCAGCTTTAGTTTGGTATGGTTTCCCCTGGGACTATGGCCCATGACTTTTGAGGGGGCAATGATTTCTTGACTCGGGTGTGATGGGTCCATCCTTTTTCTGCTGCCTGAACTGCGATTTCGGTAGTTAGGAATGTTAGATAAAGTCCTTTTCAAGCCAGTTTGAACTTTTCTGTCTTTCCAACCTTTGAAAAGGACATGATCCCCAGGCTGATGTTGGTTTGTTGGAATCTCTACAGGTGGCCCTTTTGCTAGTTCTGAGGGAAGGAAAAGTAAAAGATAAATCAGGAATATAATTTCTGAGAAACTGATTTTTTTTGTTTCAAAATAGGGAGATCAGTAGTAGAATGTACATGAGGCACTCCATAAAGCATCTCGTGTTCCCTATGTCTTTTTGGGGAGTAGTTCAGACTCTTAACAGGGTAATAGGCCATCCTACTTTCCCTGATGAAGGTGGGTACCAGGGAGTATGATATTTGCATGTTATATCCAGTACCTGGGCTATTTTCTTAATGATATATGAGGTGAAAATAGTCCTGTTATCTGAATCAATGTTCTATTAATCTAAAATTGGGTATAATATTTTCAGCTAATATCTTGACTATATTATTAGCAGTTGTACTTGAAAACAAATAGCTTCTACCCAGTGAGTAGGGTTATCTACTACTACTACTAATGAATACTTTAGATGACCAATTGGAGGCATCCCTGTGTAATCAATCTGGATACTTTGGAATGGCCTTATGCCTGGATTCCTTCCCCCAAGGGGTAATTTTTTAAATAGTTTGTTAGTTTTCTTGCATACTAAGTAACAGTTTGTAACCCGTTTGGCCAGGGTATAAATTCCTATGCACCTGTAAACTCTGATGACTGTGTCACACATGGCTTGGGGCCCTCAATGAGTCCCTTGATGCAGTTGGAATCAGATTCCCCTCATAAAGAATTTGGATAACATTTTTCTCTGCTCTGTTAATATCCATTTCCTTCTAAATTCTCTTTAGCACCTATTTGCATTAGTTTTTAAACCAAGGAAAGCCAAACAAACACCATTTTACATTTGACAATGCTTCCTGTATGACTTTATACCAAATAAGTTAAAATTCACCTTTATATTAGTGTGCTATTAATGTTAAACTCAATTTTAATAAAACCTTGTAGACATAGTCATCCAATTTTAATGTCTGACTATAAGGTAAGATTTATATAGACTCTCTTTAACCCTGTATAATTTTTGTTAAAGAGTAGGCTAGTGCTGAGAAAAACAAAAAAACAAAAAACAAAAAACTGTTGTGCTTTTAATGTTCAGTTCACAAAAAAAAAAAAAAAAACTGGATTATACACCTTTAATTTTAGCCAAGATGTTTACACACAGAGTTTCCTTTATCATTAACATTTTAAACTTGATTAAAGCTTCAAAACAAAGTTGTTGTTTTTTTTAACTTTTTAAAAATGTAGGTAAAAATCCACATGCTTATGCCTCCTTATAATCCTTTTACCAAAAGTGTATTTTACTTTCCTTACACGCCTTGCATATAAATTGTTTCTTTAATCATTTTACATTCAGGAGGACTCAGTACTTATAAATCATACAACATTACTTGCATAAATTCCCTTTTATAATATTTTTCATGACTTTCACAGACAATCTTTGACATGCCTTAACTTTCTGACTTGCAAACATACCTTTCTTTAAACAGCCAGTTAATTTATTTTAGGACAAGAATTTACTGTATAATATTCTTTTTACATAAATTTTCCTTCTTTTTTTTTTGTCAAATATGATAACCATTCTTTCCAATCAAGCTTTCTTTATGTCTGTGGACTAGACTTCCTAAGGCCACAAGAATAGAAGGGATAATGCATGTTACACCATTAACTTTTAGCAAACTTTACTTTTGTTGAAAACCTTGTACATTTGCAATTTTAATTATCCTTTGCTATTAATAAGATCTCGTTCAGTCCAAATTTTTTTCCAAATGTATAAGCCATTTCAAAGCTCTACTTATAATTGGTATAGATGGAGATGACAGTATCTGAGTAATCCTAAAATTTTCTAAGTTCTTGTTTAGTCTCCAGCAGAGGAAAGAATATGATGCCTTCCATCTGTTCAAGCTCAATTTTTTGTTTACTTTTGCTAATTAAATGACTTGTTCTAACATTTGACTAAATAAATTTGGAAACTCCATAAAACTTTGGAGTAAGACTATCCATCAGTATTGCTATTTTTGACCAAAGTGAGGGTCTTCTCACTCAAAGGCAAATAGGTCCCAGCTGTCCTCTGCCAGTGGACAAGCCCAGAAGGCATCTTTTAAATCTATTACTGTAAACTACTGGTGATTGTAATAGTATAAGGACTGAGAACCACAAGGTTTAAGAAGCCCATCATGGAGAATATCTTTAATTATCAATTATAGGTTTTCAATTTACTCTGGCTTTTAAAGGAATAGGGCACATTGATTTCTCTTTACTACTTCTATCTTTCCCTTTCTCTCTCTCTCTCTGACTCTTTTTTTCTCTCTCTGACTTCCTCTGTTCCCTCTGTCAATCTTTCTCCCTCCTTTAAGAATACTTTTTTTCTTAGAAGCTCTTCTGTAGGTTTACCTTCTAGTTCTCTATCTTTTGTAATTCTTGTTAATATCTGGCCAATTGTAAGTGACAAAATGAAGTTCTAATACTCCCTGCCCAAGAGGATCCTTGAGAACTAGACCAGCATGTTTTCTTATTTGTTCCTTTAATCTGTTTAAAAATCTTATAGGCTCTTTACTTTTCTCTTGCTGTATATCAAATGTTCAGGCAAGATTCTGGATTTGGGGTACTGATTTTTTAATACCTTCTATTATTAATTCCCTAAGGTACTGCATATTTTCTCAGTGGGCTGTGTTATTGTTCCACTGAGGGTCCTGAGCAGGAAATTTTTGATTCATTGTGGAAATGTTTTGGCCGGGGGGTGTTCATGTTCCTAGGCTCCCATAGTAGCTTTACAAATTATGCCTCTTTCTTTGCCTGAAGAGAGGGGAAAGAGAAGTTCTGAATATCCTTTTTACATTGATCTATCTTGCATTGAAGTCCTTTTAGGGAAGGATACTCAGGCTGGTAGTGAGTGGGCTCTTGGGATGATTCCCAAGAAGCAGGGTTATAAAGATAGGGATAACAGGGATAGGAGAATTGTCTGGGAGAACAGCTGCTTTTTCTTGTTTTTGGTCCTTTCATTATTCTTCTAATATTTTAATATTAGGCCTAGGGGATTATTAGGGGGTAATATTATTGCGGCTAGCTTTATCCTTTTTATTTCTTACCTTACTTGGTGTATTTACCACTTTTGGGGTAAGTCTCAATTTCCCTTACCAGAAATGTCTCACCTTTTTTTTTAACCCCCAAGATACTCTGATCAAGGAA